GGTGATCCACATTCAACAGATATTATAGGCGGTAATATCACAACACAGAAATTCAATAACCCTAGATTTAGTGATGAACTGGAAATGAGCTGAAAATGTAAATGATATTTAAGTCATCCTGTGTATGTGTGTGTGTGTAATAGTGATATAATAGTGAATTGCAAGCATATAGGGGAAATGAGATTATGACATAAAAGTGTATGAAATCTGTAAAAGAAAAGGACAAACCAAATAAGGTATCTTAAAAATAAACTAAAGGAAATTTAAAAAGCTCATTTTTTCGAACCTAGGTTCAAGGAGGTAGGTTGTGTCTTTAGTCTGCTCGAAATTTAAAATTTTTTTAGACCCAAATACAGCTTAGTTACTAATTTAAATAAATTATAGTGGAATTCTATGGTATTCGATATAGTAAATTATTATTTTTTGGTTATTTAACTGTGTATATATATAAATAAATAATACCTCAACAAATTATTTCATTTCATATCCTCCACATGTGAAATTTTAAAAGGCTTAGCAATCGAGTGCAAAGGTCATAACTAAAAGAGATAATTGTTTGATTTACTTCTTTAGTTACTGTTCTATATTTTAGGAAAAATAAGTTTAAGAACTTATTCCTAAATAGTAATAATATATATACATATATAATGTATAATAATGGAAATGTGACTGTATTTTACAAAATACTATTCTACTAAAACGCAGCCAAGGCAGGTCACTTTGTAAAGACGAAAGGTCTGTTTTATGTTATTGGATACAGGTAATATGAGAGCACATGTGCCACGTCATTGTAACTTCTGTATTGTTAGCCAAGCATGGCTGAAGGTCAATATAATGAATATATATAATTGTATAATGTTATGATATTTAAGCTACTTAGTTTAAACATTTATGTTTTCATGTTATAATTTGTTGTGTTATAATTTATATTTACTTCATAATTTTTTATGGTGGTTACAAGATTGGTCGAATCTACCAAACTGTACAGAGATTCATTAGTGAAAATAACAGATAAAATATAAGAAATGTTTGATAACTACCTAGACATTATAAAGATTTTGCATGCAAAAAAGTATTTTTAATCTTAAAATGAAAATTACTTTGCATGTTGGATAAGCAAGATGCGAAAAGAAAAAAAAAAGCATGAGAAAAACATTGCTTAACAAACATTAAGACTTAATAAAAAAAAATTGATATCTTGCGTATGAAAGCATTATAATGTTTACTGATAATCTGCCAAATTTCATTAACATACACTTACTAATTTAAAAGTTTTAGCATGAAAACTATAACAAGCACAAAGTGGTTACGAGGTTGGTCCTAGAGACTGAGCCCATGGTGAAAGATAAAGAATAAGGTTAACTAAAAATAATGCATTAAAAAATAGTAAATAAATCATATTAAAATAATATAGAAAAACTTGATACACTTATTATGTAAGTGAAAACACAAACTAATTCTTTAGTAACAGTATAAATTGAAGGCCAAAGATAATTTATTTTGGAAGCAAGATTAATGGTGTAATTACGTACCAATATGTTAGTGTAACAAACATTCATAAATTATTTTATCTTTCTGCTTGGTAGTGATATATACTACAGTTCTTAGTTTTACATTTTGGTGATTAATTGATTACTTTTGAGCATTAATTACTTCAACTAATGTTACGAAAATAATAAACTAATTGAAATTAATGTTTTTAATTATTCAACCATTCAAGTAATTGAAAGATTCACATTATTATTTTTGACGAATTCAAGGTTGCTCACCTTAATCAGTTAGTGTCACAAAGCTGATTATAATACAACTGTTTAATTAGTGGAATCTGCTAATCCATTTATCATAAGACTCATTAACTGATTACATTCAAATGATCGATTATTCTCAGGAGACGGATATCTGGAATAATCAAAAATAGTAATAATCAGAAACATTAATTTCAAATAGTTTGTTTTCGTGAGTTTGTGCATTAGTTTCATTAAGTATTCAACTTTAATTTAGTATATATATATGTGTGTGTGTGAGTGTTTATTATCCCTGAAGACTCAACGGATAACCTGGTGAATATTAACTAAATTTGACATGTGCTTAACTAACACCCAAAATAGATGTAATACTATGTATGATATTTTGTAACCTTCCATAGCCATTAGGGCATGACCAGTGTATGAAAAAGTAAAGTACAGAAAGCACTATATACTTAGGGATGTGGGTGTTTGTGTGTAATATGTATTTATCTATTTTATACCTTCTTTGTGAAGGCTTATTCTGAACATTCAGGATTTATTGCTATCACAAGCCACTTTTACATTAGGCTCACCCAAACGTAGTATATATATATATATATATATGTATTTTTAATACTGTATCTTGCTTTCTATGGCTAATTTTTACTGACATTTATTAAAGAAATAAACTGTTGTTACAATTCTATATAACTTTATTGTGGTCTTCCAGATAGATGACTGCACAATCATAATAATTACAGAATATCACATATTTTGTGCTGATTTTCTTTGTTTTGTAAAGGTCCTGTTTACATATCGATTGTAATAATAAAAAACAGTAATAATCAGAACAACTAAATTTCAATTAGTTGATTATTTTTATCACAGTAATCAGTTAGTTTATAGAAAACATGTATCAAGCCCATGTTAGTGTAATAAAACTTGTTGATTTAACAGTAACAATTCCATGATTGTATCATACAGAGATAAAAAGTGCTTTATTTCCAGTAACTCTGACAAAATCAATGATATCTGTGATCTTGCAGTCTTTAAAAACAAAGTTGTCTTTTTTTTTTTATTGGCTTCTGCTTTCTTATAAAACAGTTTTATAGAATGCATATTTAGCACAGAGTTGAACGGTTCATGCTTTCTTTTGTCTTTGATTTTATGACTTTTACGTTTCATCTGTTCTAATGAGTGAAGTTTTATTATACATCAAGTAGCTTCAGTTTAGTCTATTCATCACGAGTTTCTACTACTGCTTTCAATTTTGAGACATCTCTACACTACCATTGTTTTTCATAGTTTGATGGATGCAATTTCTTTGTATAGTGTTAGAGCTGGACAATTAGTAGAATTGATCAACCAATTAATCATCAGGCTCATTAATTGTGTACTTGCAATTAATAATTCTCACGTGAGATTTGAATAGTTGGAATAATTGAAAAAAGATAGTCAGAAAGACTAATTTTAAATGGTTGATTATTTTTTGTGAGTTATAACCCTAGTTTAATCAGACAACAAAGTAACACCCCTCATTTTTGGTTATTAATTCTACCTTGGTCCATTCAACTGGGTATATCCTGGTGAAGTGTACTTCAAGGTAGAATTTTCTTGATAATCCTAAATGCTTCGATAGATAGGTGAACCTGATTAGGGTGACCAGAAGTCTGACAAAAAGAGGACATGTCCTTCTTTTTAACCTCAGGTTCTCTGTTGGGCAGGCATTGGGAATATGTTGATATTGTCTGGCAGTTTACCTAGAAATATAAGAATGAATTTTTACATACATATATATATACACACAAACAGGCTCTACGACAACTCACTGCCACCATTTTGCTGCAAGTATTTTCATTAACAAAAAGTTATCTATTTCCTACACAAACATATGTATGTGTGAGTGTATATCGTAGGTACATGTACACCTTACTTTTTTATTTCAAATTTTATATCTGTCTTCCTTTCAGTACTATAGTGTCTGGTAACGTTCAGATTCATACTATGACAAAGCCTTTAGCCACAGCATTTTTTTTAACACATCTACTCTTTGTTACATCTGTATGTATTGTATATAGAACTGGTAGTAATTGATTTAGTAGACTCAACAAAAATTAAGTGTGAGGTACCTGAAAATGTGAACATACCTGTTTAGTGAGGCCAAATGTAAAATATACTTAAGACTACTTTGCCTTTGAAGTGAATAAACCACTAAAAGTTTGAGTTATGACAAAGTAGATGATTATGGAAAAGTATTTAGAACTTGATCACAGTCATTGAGTGATCACTTTTGGGTAGTGCAAAAGGAGAGAGCAGGAATCATTTATGAACAGACCAATAAGCAGACAGCATTATTTCACAAAGATTGTGCTTTACATGTTGATATTGATTTGCAAGTTGAAAACGAACTGAAGTTTATTTAACATGTAAATCACACATCTATTATCTTGCTTGTTTTATTATTCTTAACATATGATTCCATAATGTTACACTAAGTTAGAAGTAGGCTGAAAGTGAAGTTTATGTACAAATTGAAAATTACCCTGTATTGTGATTTTAAAAAAACTTGTAAGATTTTACACATTGAAACGTTTTATATTTTATTTTAGTAATATCTGTGAGGTTGTTGAAACAACTGCATGAGAAACCTTCGAAATGTCATTCTTTTTCATTTCGTAACCAAATAATAAATTATCATTCATAATTTTTAAGTAGCTAAAGATAATCCTTAGGTTTATATATATGCATAAACACACTTTTGACATGTATATTGTTATAAAATATTATAAGAACTGAAAAGCTTGCTCAAGCCATTGTCAAGTTATAATTTTTTAAGTTAAACAAAGTAGTTTATGAGATAAAATGGTTTAAAGTTTACTATTTTCATTTATTTCCATTGTAAAATAGATTTTTTTCCTACTTGAAAAAAAAATCACTATCTCATTAAATCGCTGAACCTAAATCTTGTATTGTATTTTGTGTTCTTGGCCTCCCTTTCATGACCCTGGATACTATGGGAGTGAATTTTCTAATGGGGTTTGTTTTGGGGTAGCTGTCGAAGTAATTGGGTATAGTGATATATTGTTAGAAGGAACAGTTTACATGTAAACAAAGTTAATTATTTACTACAAAAATAAATTCAGAGGTATATGCATTAAATACAGTTAATAATGAAACATATATCTAACAATAATCATGGTGTATGAGTAAAAATCCACTAGAAACTTTACTTGCATTACATTTCTTACACTGGATTTTTTTTTATCTGTTTAGCTTGCAGCCCCCTCAAGTCAAGCCTCGACAGGATCTAGTCAGCTGTGTTACTGAAAATGTATGCATTTGATTGTTAATGAATTCGGATTGACTGTAAAAAGAGAGAAAATGCCAACATTAGACAGAATTTTGGAATGTTTATTTATTTTGAACATGCTAGTACATTTTGTTTATGTCACACCAAATGACTTTCTTTGCATGAATGCAGATCAGTGTCCAAGAAACAATGAAATTGAAAACTACTGTTCGTGTAAGTGTGAAAAGGCTTTGAATAAATGGGTTATCAAAGATATATATTGCACTGGCTTGACCAGAAAAACTCTTCGTAATAGTTTTAGATGGGAAAAAGGTAGCGAGAGAAATATTTCAATTGCCTCTATGGAAATAACTTACAGCAGCTTGAATGAGATAACCCACAAAGATTTGAAAAATCTGAAAGATTTGAAAAAATTCAAAATCTCTTTCAGTAATTTGACAGTAATTTCAAACAATGCTTTTCACAACTTCAAAATCCTTGACACTTTAGACTTGTCAAACAATAATCTAAGTGGGATAAAGAAAAAATGGTTCCAAGAACAACAACAACTTACAACTTTAAATGTCTCTAAGAACAACCTAACTTTTATTGAAAAAGAATCTTTCAAGAAACTTCACAATCTGCAAAAATTGGACCTCTCTGGAAACAACCTCACTAGTATTGATAAAGATGTATTTAAAGACTTGATGAATCTTGTGGTGCTGAATCTTTCTGATAATCAACTTAATTCTCTTAAAAGTGGATTTTTTAACAACAGTCCAAAGCTTTCAGAACTGTACCTTTCAGGTAATTTTTTTTCTTAATGTATCACACAAAATATATGATTGTAATTATTTTTGGAAGTTAAATTAATAAAAGTTTATTTTTTTTAGGTATATTATTAATAAAATATTCATTTATATTTACTATTATGATGTATCAAAAAAAATGTTGGTTATAGCCTTGAAAATTAATAAGATACTTAAACCACTTAAAAAATGGTATAAAACATAACTTCTAAATGAGATTGTAATTAAACTATATTCTCAAAAACATTTTAAACTATGCTGGTAAATTTAGGCCTAATTAATATTGTTGTTTAGCCAAAAATAAATGTAATTTTTGAATATATTTAATATTAATAGTCGTTAGTTGGGCTTCCAGTATTTTCCTAAACCATTTTTGTAATTGTTCCCTGAACCCAAAATTTGGATTCATACTTACAATCTTTTAATAAATCTGTTAGGTTGGCTACTGTACCACAGGATATTACACAAGAACAACAATGTTGTACAATAACAAAACTTGTTACTTTCAACCATCGAAGTGATTTTTCTGAGTTAATAATTCTTGTTCCTTTATCATACAGATGTACTGTATCTTTCAAACTGATTTACCTAAAGTTAGGGCCTTCCAGTTACTTGACCAAACATTTTTAATGAGCTATTAACTTACATTTAACCAGCACCTACCTATAATCACATAATTTGTTCTGCAGTCTTCTTATTTGTCCTTATTAACTGGTGAAGCAGTGTGTGTCATGTTGTGATATCAAGTTTGCAAACTGTTGTTCCCTGTACTCGTTTTTAAATCTACAGAATCCACTGGAGTACAAGAATAATATACTGGCTAGTGTCAGAACAAGAGTGCATGATTTGGGACAGCATCTTAAGTTTTACTGATGCAAGTAGGTGGAGAGATGCACTTAAAGTAAATATTAGTAAAACACAGCAGTTTTGTTCTGCTAAAGGATTATTCTTACACCTTGATTGGCCATAAGACTTGGATCACAAATGTTTTAGTTTTTAACTATCACACCATTTCAGTGGACAGATATTGCTTTAATAAACTGTGTTCAGCTCTCTGTAATCCTATATGAACTCCTTTCTGTACTCCCATCTGACATATATATTTCTATACACATGTTTACTCACCTATTCCAGGTAATTAAAAAAAAACCTTAACATTCAAACATCCTGCAGTCATCCTACAAGTCTACTACACTGATCCTTAAGACAAGGTCTGCTTAAGCTTGTGTTATACATGTACATATTCTATTAATGGCCTGGGGGTGGAATAGACTAACACAGCTTGAAGTTTGTACAGCTGCACCCAACCCACCATATCTCATATACTTCAAACCTGGTCATCTTTACAGTCAAAAATTATCAAGTGAAGTTCTACTCTTTCATCAGGTGACAAATGGCCTCAATTTAGTTCCTTTTAATAGCCCGTAATCTAGAATTTATACTCTAGCAAGATACTGTACCAGTTTTCTACAAACATACATCAAATACATGTACATCTTGCTAACCAGTCAGTTCATCAATCAAGCAGTGAGATGACGGATTGGCAGTTTACATAATATTTAATTTGGTATACTTCACTTTCAGTTAACATTTATGAACTAGAGGTTTTCTCTTAATCCACTTCACTTATAGATCCTAACTAAAGTAATGCCACATTACGCATCATACGTTATTAGCTGTTATATATACTATGTAAGTTTAATTTATGCAAGTCTAATTTTCTCTTGGTTCAGCCATACATATCAGTTGAATGCATTTTCTTTCAATTTTGTAGCAGTGAATTTCATGGCTATTTCTCTGTTCTATATGAAAATTTTTATCCTGATTATTATTATCCCTGATAATGTTTTTGGGACACAAACTTCCATAGTTCTTCTCTGTTGTACCAGATTTAAAAAACTATTAACAGATATTGTTAATCACAGAAACTTAAACATAACTAACCCAAGGTGGTGGATTACTCTTAGTAGTTACTGTTTGTGTGCAGTGTTGAGATAAAATAATAAATTACCTTGTTTCTATTTATGACATTAAAGAACAGTAGTTTTACACTATAACAATTGCTATAGATTCATTAAAGTGCAAAGAAGTCCCCACCTCCATTCAGGTATCCATGAAATTGTAGAACATGTAGAGTTGAAATATTAAAATGCAGTTGTATTTTCTTTGACAGAATAGTTAAGCTTAGAAAATCAGTAAATGAACAAGTAAAAATATGATGTACTTGACTTTCTGTTAATTCAAACACTAATCATAATAGCATGAACACATGTTGGCATAAGTTATTTTCGGCTAAAATATAGTATTCAAATATATACGTAATGAATAAAAGAAAACCAAGGTCACACACTTAAGTGAAGCAACCAACTCGACTTCAGTACGATGTCCATGATGGGTGTGATATTTCCAGCAAATTTAGTCTGGTTTTGAAAACAGTACACTGTACCATAAGATATGGCTGTTGTATTTCTCCTTAAATGGCTAAAGATATTTTTTTAGGCTCTGAGTAAATATTTGTAAAAAGATGTGTATATTAGATTTGTGGGGATCAAAATACTCTTAATAAAATTTGATTTTAACCTTAATACTAACAACTGAAAATGAAAATACTTAAGAAATCTTAATGGATATTTGATTATTTAACTGAAATTCCTTTTAAGGGCAGGTTTGTTTTACAAATAATCAATAAAAGTAAGAACAAATTTTAAAGAGTATTCTTACTTGAAATAGTTTAATAAAATATAAACTTACTTTTTCTCTTGTGATTACTCAAAAAGGTCAGAGTTACTTAACATTGTTTGTAAATCACCAGTGTAGTATTTTAATGGTTATTGACAAGTACAAATACTTTACTGAACTAATCCAAGATTTTGTGTGTTATATGTGTGTGTGGTTTTTGAAGATGACAAGTAACTTGACAAATACAAATATTTTACTGAAGTAATCCAAGATTTTGTGTGTTATATGTGTGTGTGTGTGGTTTTTGAAGTTGACAAGTAACTTGACAAATACAAATATTTTACTGAAGTAATCCAAGATTTTGTGTGTTATATGTGTGTGTGTGGTTTTTGAAGATGACAAGTAACTTGACAAATACAAATATTTTACTGAACTAATCTAAGATTTTGTGTGTTATGTGTGTGGTTTTTGAAGATGACAAGTAACTTTTATGTATACCAAAGCATACCTTGTGGGAAAATATTGATTTTATTACTAGATAATTGGAATATATGTATTAATATTTTTTTCCAAGATCTGGGCTGGTGCTTAATAATAGCTTAATCCCAGAAAATAAACTGAATTGTGTTGTATATAAATATTGTTTGAGCTGTGTTTTATCTAAGAAAAACAGCTTTTGTTGCATGATAAGGTTTGTAATTAGTCATGTTTTTTTTTCAAGTTTACTTTGTACACTTAAGAACATTTTTATAGCATGTGATAGTCAAGATGTGGTATAAAACAGAATTATGTTCATTTACACAAGTTTTGTTTGTCACTGCTACATGTATATATTATTTAAACAAAAATGTTTAATACAAAATTTATTTCTATAGGCAATCCTTGGACGTGCGACCCACAACTTGAATGGCTATCTGATCATGTAGAAAACAAGACAGGAATGATTATAATGGACTTCTCAAGCATGCACTGCATATCTCCAACTTCCAGAAAACATTATTCCATCACGAAATGGTTAAGTATTCGTAGTTTAGAGAAGGATATTGAGAAATCTGACCTTTGTAAAAACTGTACCTGTAAAGAGGAAAGGTCTGAGTGGATTAGTGTGAACTGTAGCAGCAGAAACTGGACACAGCTTCCAAGAAAGCTCCCAACTAAGACCAGAAGTGTCCACATGGAAAACAACATGATCACATCTCTTTTTCTTCCACAGAATGCAACAGCATATTGGAAGACTGTGGCTTTTCTGTATTTAGAAAACAATTCAATTGACTCTCTTACACGTATGGAAGCATCTAAGGTCTTAAGAAACCTAGTGACACTCCACCTTAACAAGAACAGGCTTTCTGAGATTCCAATACATATCCTGGATCAGTTTCCAAATCAGATGGACCAACTCCATCTTTCTGACAACCCCTGGAAATGTACGTGTAACACAGTTCGCTTCATGGAGTGGCTACAGGATCATCACAAGCAGGTACAAGACAGGGAAGAGGTTCGGTGTCAACGTGATGGGAGCCAGCTTGGACGAAGAGTTATATACCGACTATTGAAGTCGGAGCTTTGTCCACAGAATTCTGTGACTGTCAACTATCTTGATATTGTTATTTGCATAATGGCTTTACTGATTGTTTTGATTGTTTTTAAACTTTTGTTTGATTGTTGGAGGCAGCAGAGAACAGGGAAACTCCCAAGGTTTTTCAGTTTTAAGCTAACCTAAAAATAAACAGTATTCTTCCAGGAAGAAAAATAAACAGGAAAGGAATAGACAAGTTTTCTCCATGTATAGGAGACAAAGAATGTATTGTTAGATTCTACAGTTGTAAGTTTTATATATTTCAATCGAGAAAACATTGTTCCTTGACGGCATATTCAAAATATGAAGATATATATATTGTTAAATCATTTAGAGTCGTTGAAGCTTAACCAAAGAAACTTTAAGTAAGTGATGTGATAGGATAGTTACTTTTTTTCTTACCCAGAATAAGCTAATGAACTTACACCTATTTAAGATTTTATTTTTATTAAATGAATCATATGAATTCATAAATAAATTTCCATCAGTAAAGATTTAAAATGTTAATGCTGTAACTTGCCTATTGTACAGTAGTGACTGTTTTCTAAAGTAAGTAGGAACTGTTGTTTCTTATTAAGATTAGGCATGCAGGAAATTATTAAGTAGGTCTCTTTACTTATTATTCTGGCTTTTCTTGCACAAGAATCTTTTTAGATAGTTTACTAAAAAGCAGTGGTGTGTGATGGTTTCTCAAGTGGGTCATGCAGTAATATCTTAAAGTAATATACCTCTCGAATGGGGAAAAAAAACATACAGAGAACAGATTTACTCACCCTATTTGTATACAGGTCCAGACAGTGATCTTTCTTTAGATGAAACTCTCCTGACTTATTAGCTTGTGAAGTAACAAATCACAAAATCAAATGAAGCAAAGCATGCGACCTGTATGTTGTTGATGTTGAACTTCTGCACATGCTGTCATGCTATTTCAACACAGCATACTTGCACAGTTTTACCAACAGGTGGTGGCAATTAAAATCATAAATAATATTCAACATTAAAAACATTTTATTTAGGCCTATCTATGGCCTTCAAAAAGTTGACGACTCTACATGTTTCGATGTTACTGAGGATGACGTTGTAACGCTGAAACATGTAGTCGTCAACTTTTTGAAGGCCATAGATAGGCCTAAATAAAATGTTTTTAATTGTGTGTACCAGTTTAACATTGAATGTTATTTATGATTTTAACTTTATACACAAGTGCCAAAATACTATAATTAGGTGGTAGCAATGTCGCTGTAGAAATCAGGATACTGCTGGAAGTGCAAGATTAAGCATGCATAATTTGTGTAGCATGGCATGATTGAGACTAGACATGCAGAGATCTTGCAGTATGAGATGAGAATGCTGCCACACCACAAAGAAACACATAATAAAAAAATATTAATAATAATAAATATATAAGATACATTACATTGCGTAATGTTATTGCCAAATTTTTTGTTTTTGATTGGTCATGCCACATACGACTTGCATGCCACTGGTAAAAAGTAAGTTTACAACTGCATCATCTAGATCAGGGGTTCTCAAACATTTTTCCTTGGGCTCCCCTTTAAAAATATTTCAAGCTTTTG